GTGAGAAAATGATGTATATGATTTATTAATATATTATAAGTTATAATATATTAATATGAAATCATATTATTTAATTAGTATTGATCAAGAATTAATTTGGAATTAATTATGTGATCAAAAGACACTAATTAAATATATGGGGATTGATTGTGTAAATCATTCATTCTTATATATGTAGGCTTATGATCCATAGTTCTTCATGTTGGGCTAAACCTATGGAGTAACCCATGGATACTCCATGAAGATTTTAACCCATGGAGCATGAAGAATATGGAAAGACATGAGTTACATTGGGTAACCCTAATAGCCACAATATATAAGGACCCCATAACTCAATAAATCAGTCCTAAGGAGTTCAAATGAGAGGGCTAGCCGATTTGAGCACAAGGACTTTTCTCTCAAGTTATTCCAAGTTGTTGTTGATGTTTTGTTAACCATTTGACATGTCACACTTGGGGCACCCGGCTCTTAAGCTCCATGGAATCAAGCTACAACACAAAAGGTATGTTACTCTAACTAGTATCTTATTTGGTATATGAAAATGCATGCTAATTATAGGTTTACTGCCTTGGAAACCATTTTCATGTATAATTAGTGAACACATAGATCCAAGGTATTTAGGGTTGTATGTGCACCATAGGATGTTGTAGTATACTAAAAGCCATCAGAACATCGACTCCCCACTTCTGGATTTGATCAGGGAGGCTCAGGATGAGGGAGTTAAGAAGTAAACTTGGAAGCATGAGAGGATCAGAGGTGAGATTGACATATTTTTTACCGATAGTCGCAGACTATTAAACTAGTGCGATCGGGTATGGGTGCCATTTTCTGGAGGAGTGCAACATATAGTATTGGAAGAGGCACACCATTCCAGGTCTTGATTCACCCTAGAGCCACAAAGATGTATCGAGACTTGAGGTTTAGTTTATGATGGCCCTGGTTGAAGCGGGAGATAACATGGTGTGTGGAGAGATGCTTGACCTGCCGGATTGTCAAGGCAGAGCACTAGAGACCGCATAACATGCTTCAGCCTTTGGAGGTGCCCATGTAGAAATGGGAGCAGATCATTATGGATTTCATCACCAAGTTTCCGAGGTAGGCCAAGGGATTTTATGCGATTTCGGTTATCGTGGCCTGTTTGACCAAGAGTGTCCATTTTCTTGCCATTCAGGAGAGTTCTTCGGCTGATAAATTGGCCGACATGTATGTACGCGATATTATGCTCGCCACATTATACCGATCTCTATTGTTTCTGATCGCGATGTTCGGTTTACTTCTCTGTTTTGGCAGAAATTTCATAAGGAACTAGGCACAATACTGCATTTCAGCACTAATTGTCACCCTCATACTGATGGATATAGTGAGTGGGCCATTCAGAGACTTGAGGATATGTTGAGGGCTTGTGTCATCGATTTTGATCGGAGTTGGGACTCTTACCTTCCCCTAGCTGAGTTTTCTTACAACAACAAATATTATTCTAGTATTGGTGCATCACCTTTCGAGCTTCTCTATGGAAGGAAGTTTCATACACTATTTTGTTAGGGAGAGGTCGACTATAGGGTCATGGGGAAGATTGAGGTAGTCCTCCAAATGATGGAGCTCATCCAGCAGATCTGGTAGAGATTGCAGACGGCCCAAAGCCGACAGAAGAGTTATGACGACATACGACGATCCGAGTTAGAGTTCCAGGTCATTGACATGGTTTTTTTACTTAAGGTATCACCCTGTAAGGGTATTATATGCTTCAGGAAGAGGGAAAAGTTGGGTCCTCGATTTATCGTACTATTCTGAGTAGTGGCGAGGGTAAGCAAGGTATCATACCGACTTGATCTGCATGAGGAGCTTAGTCATATTCACAACACCTTCCATGTTTCTCAGCTTTAGAAGTGTGTAGTTGACGATTCAGTAGTGGTTCCTTTGGATGAAATTCAGGTTGATGAGCACCTGAATTATGTAGAGAGGGTCTGTGGCTATTTTGGATATGAAGACGAAGGCCTTACGCAACAAGGTAGTCCATCTGGTTAAGGTTCAGTGCTAGCATCAGAAAGGTTCCGCTTGGACATGGGAGCCTGAAATGGAGATGCACGAGCACTAGGGTGTGCGTGGTGTGGTTTAGAGTCAAAATTGAAGACTGCGTTGTTTAGCGCGGTTTACAAAAATTACAAACCGTAAAATTATCGCAAAAGTCATAAATCACATTATGCGGTGTGGTTTGATGTGGTGTGGTGTGGTGCGGTTTATGCGGTTTAGAAATTTCAAAATAAATCTTCCTTTCAAGATTCAAACATGAAATTTATAACCGAAAAATTTAAACATAATTAAGAAGCAATAACCCAATACCAAATAGTAGATTTAGAACCATTATATTTAAAAATAATTTTCTTTTCTAATCTAAAAATGAAAGTTGAGTCTTTTATAAACACTATATTGCTATAAATTCAATAAGTAGTGTAATATATATATATATATATATATATATATACACACACACACACACACATACATGTATGTATTTGAGGCGCGGTGTGGTTTGAACCATGACTTTATAATTAAAAACTGCAAATCACACTGCATGGTGCAGTTTAACAAAATTACAAACCTCAAACCTTACTGTGAACTTTCTAAACCACATTATGCAGTGCGGTTTGGTGTGGTACAGACGGTATATATGGTTTTTTGTACACCCGTAACGAGCACTACTCGAGTATGTTTTCAGCTGAGAACTTTAAGGATGAAGTCTAATTCAAGTGGGGGAGAGTTGTGAACAATGTTCCAGGTATCAATTAATTTCTAAATGTTAAACTTTTATTTTGGATGGCTACGACTTGTGGAGCTTGACCATGGCATGGCAGTATTTTTATGATCGCAGGAATTTAATGATCTGCCACGAAGTGGCCATAGGTGCCGCACCGTGGCAGTTGTTTTTGGAGAAAACTCTAATTATTGGGCCTTAGGCCCTATTTAAAGGGTATTATGGCTAGGTTTTCATGATTATTCAACCTTTATCACCCTCTCCAGCTCAAAAACCCCAACTGTAACCTTCATTGCATTATGAACTCATTTTGGTACTTTTGGTGATCTTTGAAGTAGAAGTAAGTCTTTGGTGTGGTGATTCACCTTGCAAGCATCATCTACATCTTCTAGCATATCTTTTGGATCTTGGTGAGTGTCCAGGACTCAACCTTCTCCTTGCTAAGTTGCTAGATCTTTAGGTCTTGTCGCTTTCCATCATGTCTTGATGGGTCTTGGTGGTGAGATCTCATAAATTTTGCAACTTTATGAATCTTTAGGTCATTAGGAGTATTTGGTGTTTTGGATCTAAAGTAGGTATAAGTTTTGGTGTTATACATGGAATCTTGGTCATTAATCCTTGTTTTGACCTAATAGGAGTTCAAGACATGCATTGGACATGCATGTCTGAAAAGCACAATTTTTTATGTTAGTATTGGTGCTAGGAACCCTTCTGGAATTGTTGGACAATAGACCCTCAAGATTAAGTGCTTGATGATTAAGCCATGTAAAGTTTTTGCCCTTTTTGGACCTAGGAGTTGAGATCTTGATCTCTTGGAGAGTCTTAAGGGATAAAGTTGGATACTTTACCCATTTAGACCATGAATTGACCATATTTGAGCTTTGGAGCCCTTAGAATCGAAGAAAACGACTTAACCCATTAAGTTGTTAGGAACGCAGTACCCACGATGTGGCCTTAGGTCGCCACGATGTGGCAACTAGGCAAGAGCATGTCTGTTTTGTCATTTCGTTGCCACGACGTAGCCAAGGATGGCCACGACGTGGCGACCGGCTGAAGGTTTACCTTTGACTTAATGATCGTTGACCGTTGACTTTGACCAAGTTAGACCTTAGGCCTTTTAGGGTATTTTGAGTAGTGGATTGAGTTTTGGTCCCTATTTAATGTATATGTGACATGTAGAGCCGATATTTGGAGCAATGATCAGTTCAGCTATCTTTTGGGTTTTGAGGTGAGTTTTCCTCACTATGCTCGTCGGTCGAAGGCACCAATGTCAGCCTACTAGGTTGTGTTATGTATCCTGGTATATAGGATGTTGTTATGCCGTAGTGAGTTGTTATATGTTTATTTTTATATGTTGCATATGTCGACATAGTGCGGTTAGGTTGAGGCGCTCCTGCTTTATGCTGAAGGCCAAGATACCCGGGGCGGTCCGGATAGACTGTAGGTCGTGTGAGGCAGTCCAGTCAGGCTGAAGGCTCGTATATACATGTTGTTACCTGTTTGGTTGTGTATGGTATATTAAGGGAAACCATTAAGCTTTGGCTTACAGCTTGATTTCATGGTTTCAGGTACATCAAATGATCGGGACAATGCAAATACGTGATTGTGCACATCATCCTTGAATATTTTATTGATAGATGATTTTGAAATACTCTGATTTATGATTATGATTTTTTGGAAACAATGTTTTGTATGACTTTTGGGTTATTAAATGGTTTTGAAAAATGAAAAGTTTTATCATGATTTTTGGAATATTACAAAATAGTTGTTTTTTTGTAGTTGTCATAAATAATCACATAAACTCTATATGGGTTCAATAGTCGTAGCTATAGGCTGCTTTAAAGGCACATCATACGGACCGAACATCTTTAAGTCTGAGGCTTTGGTCGTAGCTTCTTTAGAAAGAGAATTGAAAGAGGATGGGAACACGTTGATCACCATCTTGCCAAGTGGAGTAGACGGGATTAGGGGCGGTTTGCCTTGCGGTTTCAATGATGGGTGGTAAAAGTGTTATGGTGTCGTCGACATAACCAAGAAGTTTCTAAGTAAGGTGGAAGTGGGAAGATTCGATTTCTCCCTAGAAAGGTAACACTAAGCATGTAAAGGTAACACTAAGCATGTAAAGAAGGGTAGAAAGGAGGTAGGATTCATGGCCAGTGGCAATAGTGAGAGGAGAGACAGTAGCAGTGGAAAATAAGGTTAGAAGAGAAGCAATAGTTGATACCATGTAAAGTTTTGATAAATTCACCATATATATGGAGGATATTTTATAGAGTATATATAATACAAAAGATATACAAAATAAAAGAAAAGTAATTACAATAAATGAATTCCTATATTAGAGGCTAAATAATTTTCTTATGAGATATTTTCATAATAAAAAGTCAACAAATCTTGAATGTAAGACCAAAAAACCGAAAATACCCATCACCAGAAATGTTAACAGGATCCAAACCAAATACAGATTGTTCAAAAACCTTAAAAAAGAAACAGCCAACAAAACTTTACATATAGATCACCATGATCTAAAGAAACGAACTACAAAACCAGTTCTTTAAGTCTACAAAGTGCAAACTAGTTCTTCAAGTTAACTAAATGGTATAACATTTACAAGTTTTTCTATCAGCGGAGGGATGAATCATGATTCTGAATTCAGGTTGGATTCTTCACACAAAATGAATCTTTAGTTAAGAATCCTGAAGAACACCAACATTCCTTCATGCGTGTTTACTGTTTAAATAACTTCTGCATACAACTATTCTACTACAACTAATATACGCAAATAATATAACAAGCCTAAAAAAATAGAGTTATTAGATCAATCCACCCAAAACTGCACATATGGTAGAGAAAATAACTGCAAAACCTGCAGAAAACATGGTTGATTGTTGATAAAAGGTAAGATAGTTTATTAAGTGATAAGAGTTAAGAAAGTATATAAGTCAAATTCTTACCTTATACTTTCCTTTTTTGACCCAAAGAACCCACAGAAAGCTTTGAAAAAAACCTTGAAGTTCTAGAAGGCGTCTTCTTTTCAACCTGAAAGTTATTTGAATCCTTTAAAACATCATAAACAGGTGCAGGAGATTCTTCCACAGGCTCTTCAACATTTGCATCTTTCAAAAGACGAAGCATTTCATGTGCTTTTGCTTTTCCTTTATCATTTCCATTCATGATAATAGAAACAACATTAGTAATCACCCCTTCATCCATCACCAATCTACAATACTGAATGCTTTGAGAACACAACGAAAGAAGAATCTCTAAAGCCTGTTCTTGCTCCTCACAACTCTCACTTTCAAGAACCCTAGCAACAAAAGATATACACCCTTCGGTTTCTGCAATTATGCTTTTATTATCTTGATTCCCACATAGATTTGTCAAGATTGCGATGCAGTATCTTGAGAGCGATTCGTCTTCAGAAAGGGCGACAAGTTTAGGGATTAGATCTGAAGAAAGGAGAGAACGAAAGTGTCTGTTCGATGTCAAGTTATAGAGAATTTTTAGGGCTGGAGTTTGAAATTGTATGATTTTGGAATCGAGAATCTTTAAAATCTGAGTAAGAACACGAGAAGATGCGATTTCAGATCGATGATTTTGGTGGGAAGACAAATTTTCAATTATAGCGAGCGTCTCTTCTATCATTTCCGAATCAAGGAACTCTGATATCAACTCGTATGCATCGTTACTCAAGATTTTTATACTTCTGCGAAAAAAAAATTGAAACTTTTTGTAATTTCAATATCACAATATGTAAATCGTTAAAGAAGTAATTCTACAAAGGTCGCATAAATACCTGCATTTGGTTATCAAGATTTGCAATAGCAAACATCCGATTCTCTGAGCTTTAACATCATTGATATCGCGTGCAACCTTCAAGAATCTCACAATCGACTCAATCAAATTCTCGCATGATATGAATCGACAACCACGATCATCATCATTCAAACGGGCCATGAGATCTTCAACAAATTTGCATTGCGACTTCCATGGAAGCGAATCATCAAGTTCTTGAGATAACTCCACATCCATATCACGAGTATTTTCCAAAGAACTGAGCGATAAGTTACTATAATCAACAACCGGAAGTTGGAGACTATACATAGAGCTCAAACTAGTAACCGAAGAAGACGAATTCTCCCACGTGCTTACATCGGTTGAAAAGTCAACACAAGGATCCAAAATAGTGACACCATGAATCTCACACCATTGTGAAATCATACCCTTCATGGTCGTATTTGGTGTCAATGAAAAGTTCGATAGTTTCCTTTTAGTTTTTGGACAAATATCATTACCTTCTTCAAACCATTTCTGAATCCACATTCGTTCAAATGTTTCTCCAGTATCAATAACAACAGGATCATACATCACCTTGAGAGAAATCGGACACTTGAACTCTTCTGGAGGTATACTTTCACCTCTTCCAAAAATACCCTTCGGAGGTTCTTCTCGGTCAACAGAATAGTCAACTCTCCCGGACCAATAAACTTGATTTTGAACAATGGTATCGTTCTCTTCATGCACAGATGCAATTGAATGTCCATGTTTTTTAAGCAAATCCAAAAGGATCATGAGAATATGTTTCTTTTGTTGATCACTATCTCCTTCAACAAGTTTCTTTAAAAGTTTCTTGATTGATCTTCGTTCAATTAAAAGAGCTGTTTGAGATGTTATTTGAAGCTTTAAAGCAACTATTCGAATACACTCGTTTTCATATTCTGAAGAATTTCCAGTATTATTGTACCCTTTGAGTAATGTTTTTACAGTTTTTCCAGCTTCTTCTTCACATGGATCTAAACTAATTTTCATCCTCCTAAGCTCTGTAATTATCAGTGAGATCTACATGTAACATTTTTTTGTATTAATTCCATGATATAATAATTCGTATCATTTTCAAATCAACATATGATAAATTGATTAATTACCTTTGATGCAAGCATCACAGGAACCATGTTTTGTATCTGGCTCAAACTCTGTTCCAATAAGATTTTTGTTTTTTTACATCTTGAAAGAACCGTATTTCCTGTGAGTGCCTGAATAAATTCAAGATAAACCAAAATCAAATATTCAAATGTCAAAATTGGAAATTTTGAAATAATTGGAAAAACCCAATTGAGATATCGTATAAAAAAATGTAATTTTATAATCGGAAAGCACATACATACCAAGTAAAGCTTACTGGATTCACTGCAATCGCTAATCAACGATTTGGCTTTCTCAATTGCGACATTTAAATGAACAAGCGACTGAATACCAGATTCACATCGAGGTCTAGCTGCTTCTATATCTGGAAATATTTCAAGAACACTCGAGACTAGCTTCATAAGTTCTGTACACATAAACCTATGCACCTGGTTTCACCAATTTGTCGCTATTATATTAGACTTTGAGCTCTGATAACAATCTGAAATAACTCGAATTAATCTGAAATTAATCACAAATCATTTACCTTGATGTTAATCGGCGACGGGAAGTTCTCCACAGTTTCAGTAACGTCAGTCCCCATATGTGTAAAAGAGCTAATCTAAGTCTGCAAAAAGGTTGGAACACGAGATTTTTATCAAAATAAACACTCGTCAATTACATCAAGGAAGAAAATTCATACGAATTTCAGTCAGGACTGTTTAAACCAAGTGTCGGCAGTAATGCATGGGTCGTCGATTTTTCGTCTTTTTGGTAAAAAAAAAAAATAAGCATCATATAAACTAATTGCATGCGAAAGAGGGCAAGAATGGAGTGTCAGAGTGAATTGAGTGTCAAAGAGGGCAATAAAGGATTTACTGAATGTTTTTTTTTTTTGTGTGTACAGACTTTTAGGAAGAAAATTCATACAAATTTCAATCAGGTCTCTTTAAACTAAGACCTTTCTTTATCATGATTCTTGAGTAGAGAAATAAGCATAAATATTGAAATATTAACCCTAATAGTCTAATACAAACAAAAGAAACAAAAGATTAAAGAAATATTGAAGAATCTGACCTGTTAATTGTGATCACCACGGAGACTTTGCTTAGCTGAATACACTCAAACTGCTACTAACAGCCAAAAGCGCTCGAAAATTTTCTTTATGGAAGTTGCGAGAAACCCAAATCAGAATTTTACCCAAAACGTTAAATGTTCAATCTTTAAGAATCGCTTTTTGGGAAAGATAAAAACCCTTTTACAAATTAAACTCCTCGGAAACTCTCAATTTCTTGTGGGTATCTTTTCCTTTCCATGATAATCAAGAAATTGTATACAAGGAGCTTTCACGATGATTCGCAGCCTCCAAAATCAGAGTCAATAATCTTTTTTCTTTGTCAAAACCCCAAATTTCTCTTTTCCTGGAAACCAAAAAACCCTCAGGGGATCGATTAGAATTCAATTCCCATAGTCAAAGCAAAAAAATCCAAGAAGACCAATCAAAAAGCAAGAATTGTCGATGAAGAAGCCAAGAAACATCAATAAAGCTATCCTTTAGCTATCAAAGGAAAAAGTAGACAAAATAGAAGAGCAGCGAATTATTTTACAAGTAAAGCTACACCACAAGAGGTTGAAAAGCTTCACAAACAGACTCGAATGGAGACTATTCATGGGGCATATCAATTAATATCGGAATCTTTGGGGTTGAGTTTTGGGGTCTATGATGGGGGTCTACCACCTTGTGCTATTGTCTACTCGTAAATATTCAAGAAAAAAGTAAGAGAGGTAGATACAACATCATACATCATACGTAGTAGAGTAGAGCACCAAAAAATTGAATACAAAATCAAGTCTTCATCTAATGGTCAAAAATAGCACCAATTACTAGTGAAAGTTATGGTCGTCTACTCGTCTCTATTGCGAGAAATAATCTATTATTATACATCTTACTTGATTAGATCATTTATTTGTTGAAAAAAAAAATTAGACAAATCTAACAAACTAAATACTAATTTTTTTAAAAATAAAATTGGACATCATCATTTTTTTCCATTATAACTATCAATTTTGATTTTTGAAGGTAAGACCATCTTGGATGAAGCTCTAATCGTGCCCATGAATGATTCAAAAATTCTATATGATAGTACTTTACCATTCGGAAAGCTCGAATTTTATCTTGTAAACGGATTTCAATTTGGCCATGTTCCAAACTTTATATGAATTTTGTCAATGGAAAGCGTGTAACATGGAATGATAATCCTAAAACACATAATTCTATCATAACACATAGGACTTAAGGTGATGTTTGAGAGTGTTTTTTTGAACTTTAAAAGTGTTTTTAGATAAAAATGTTTATTGGTTTATAATGGTAATAGTGGTGGTAAAAAAATTTTAAAGAGTTTGGATTAGTTTTTATGGTGAAAATATCAATCGGCCAATAAGTTAAAAAGTGTTTTTTGAAGTTACTTTGATTAAAAAGCCATAAGCAAATTCAAAAATCCAAGTTTTACATGCTTGTTAAAAAATGTTTTTTGAAGCTTGTGGAAAAACTATTCTACCAAAAGGCTTCTAGCCCAGCGGTATTCATTGTTGTCCTCCCTGATTGAGGATTCAAGTCTCATTATGGACATAGGTGGAGTTAAGGAGTAGGTTAGATTTGTTGTTTCAAAAAAAGAAAAGTTATTCTGAAAAGTGTTTTTGAGTTTGTCAAACACTTTTTTTTGACTTATTAGCTTTTCCAAAAGTCAATTAGCTGTTTTGAAAAGCAATCCCCAAACACCCCCTAAGTTGTCACTAGTAGTGGTCCTAAACCATTTGTTCTGTTTATAATCTCTCCCGGTTTTAAGTTTTAAGTCTTGGTGTGGAAATTCCATACTAAATTTGTTTAAACTGTCTTTCATACCAACTTGTAACATCTTAACTCTCATATCATATAAACATAATAATTATTTATGTTCATTTTTCCAAAACATTTCATACGTGAGGAAATTAGTCAGAAATTAAAACATTTCCCAAAAGATGCAAATGCATTATATGGGAGTTACAAAATAATACACGAAATCATAGAAAGAATTCATATGTTATTTACATACATTTATAATCCAAAAGATATATTGTTATGCTTTCCCTTTTAAGTCCTCAAAACATTTCTTTTAGTCCAAAAGCTCCCTTTAATAGTTTATGTCACAAGAAAATCTATCTTATGAGATACATATGTTTTAAACATAATAGAATTTAATAATTTTCAATTCAATTCCAATCTATTTGAAATCATTTCATAAAGTACCAGTTTAAACATATAATTCCATGCATAATGCAATGCATGATTTTCTAACATATAAGTTTTGGGGAGTCTACGCTCATATTACCAGAATCGTCGACTATTTACCACTCAGGATGAAAGTGACAATCCTAAGGAGCTTATTTTCCATTAGTCATACCTTGTATTAGTTATTTTTCATAATTCATAGCTTGTATTCATTTTGACATCATAATGCATCCATTTCCTCATTGAGATGGGTGTCCCGACACACTACCAAATCCAATATATACCGATCACTACATCAAATTATTTTATCCCTATTATTAATAAATTTGCAATATCTCCTTGTCTATTAATAACGCACGATTTAGATATACATATCGAATGATAACAAATTCACCATTTGCAATTTCAATGACATATGCTTCATTTAGGACTACTAATAAAACTTCGAATCTATTACGAAAGTCATGTGATAGGAACGAATAATTAGCATTAGAATCAAATAAGATATGTATAGGAATAAAATTGACAAGTAATGTACTTGTCACAACATTATTAACATCCTTCGCTTCATGCAAAGTCATTTGAAAAAGCCTTCCTTTCACCTTCTTTGGTTCTTATCCCTTGTTGGTGGTTTATGATAATGTTTTTGTACCCCTTTTTGAACGTTATGTGCTAATGTGTCACTTCCTAACAGAAAGAATAACATTTAATATATATTTTTTTCAGTACACAATAGCTTTGTACCTTTGGTTTTTTTTAGTTTTTACAATTAAAGAACATGTATCGACATTCTCATCGATGAACTTTCCCACACATATGACATTTCTTTATTTCTTTCGACATGTTTGAATTATTTATATTTCTAGAATATCGACTTTCATTTTATTATGTGATGGTTCCATCCATCTTTCTATTCATATCTCCAAACACTTGCCTTTCTTTGATTTATCTTCTTATCAAATCTTTCATTTTACGGGCAGAAATAATAGCATCATCTAAAGTAATTTCATTCTTTACTTCAACTTTATATTCCACTGATAGACTATTACATATCAAATGATCTTTGGAAGTTTGGTAGGTAATGTGTTTTGTCTAAGAAGAATCAGACATATTACCTTTGCAAAAAGAAAATAATTCTTCAAATAGCTTCTCAACATCTCGATTTAGGAAAATCTTTGCTTTGATATGGTTCACAAATTCATCTCGGTTTAATTGAGACCCCTTTTTTGCATAACACAAGAAATTATATTCCACCAAACAAGGGCTCCACCCTTTAGTAACCGGGCTGAAAAACCCCAATATTTGTCTTATTTTTTTTTACATTCAATTGTTTGAAGTACTTGTTATGTCTCTGTTTGTTATACCCTCGACAGATGGTGGAAATGTCGTGTTGTGTGACATAGCCAATAATCACAGATATTGAACAGTATAAAACATAATCTTCTATTATCGAAATAGAACTTACATTATCGTCGTCTATTACCAAATCACAATACATGCCTAATAGTTTGACCTTTACAAAATGTAGTGAAAAATCAAAAGGGCTTAATGTGCGTGTTTTTCCAGCTAATAATCTTGAGAATACATGCGTTTTAAAATACATCAACATAAAGTTGATGAGTTCTACTGGGTTTTACATGTATTTTTATAATCAAAACTTTTTTTTATAAAATTTCGGCTGATTGACCATCTTTTGTAAAAATTGTAGTTTTTCTAACCAAAAGGTATAAAATAAAACAGATATATTAATGTTTCAAACTTAAATAAACTATAACTTTTTCTAACACAAAAGTATAAAACAAAAAAAAAATATAGAAGTATTTCAAACTTATAGAAAATATTACTTTTTCTATGACCAAAAAATATAAAAACGAAACAAATATACAATTGTTTCAAACTTATATAAAATATTACTTTTTTTATGACGAAAAAATATAAAAACAAAGGGTATAAGTACTTACTATATTTATATGCATGTGGGTGTACTTGTATCCCCGTATAAGCTTATGTGTATTGTTTATATCGTGTAATTTATTAAGTTTAAGCTGTTAAGCAATAATAGTCTATGTCATACATTATTAAGTATTTGTCGTACTTAGATAATATGCCGATACTCAAAAATCATCGTGTGTGTAATTGAGCTACATACAATTCTATTTCAACTCAGTATCTGCTATGTATATATCTTATTTCAATTCTATTTGAGTATCCTAGCTACATATAAATGTTAGGAAAAATATAACTCAAAATACAAGAAAGAACGAAAATCAGAAATTGTTACCAAGGCCTGTGTTTGACATAGTTTCCTTAAAACAAATTTGCCATATATAGGTGGTCGTTTCCCAGGATACAACAGTAGTAAGTGACTCTTCTAGGTCACCCGAACTCTCACTTGGCATGGAAATTAACTTGGTTGCAGCAAGAGATGAAAGAAGCAGAATATTAAGAGAGGAAGATAGTGATTTCGTCTCATTCGGTGTAAACTAAACAAACAAGGAAAGGCTCTATTTATAGTGTAAATCGTCATTGATATCATTAAACATCAAAACGTAACAGCCAATTAAATAGCATAATTAATTGATAAATCAAAACCTAAATCTATTATTAATATCCTTTAATTTGGGTTTGTAACTATTAAGTGAAAATAAAATAATTATGAAAAGGTCCTTGAACTTTTCTAATCGACCGGTGGTGCATTCGTATCTACGGTACGAAAAGGTCCTTGAACTTTTCTAATCGACCGGTGGTGCATTCGTATCTACGGGACGCGCGCTCGCACACAAGTTCAGTGAACCGAAGACAAATTGGATCGCATTTGCACCCTCTATGTGCACGTGCAAGAGAGAGTCTTGGTTTCTATTAATCTTACAAAGGATCTAATCTTTGTAGCTATAAACCAATTTACTTTTCATTCTCCCACCAATGTGGGATGAGTTAAAAACTCACTTAACTCCTTTATTTTCTCTTCCAATTACTCTACTTTGATAAGTAATTTCTCATTCATTTTTAATCCGCTTTGGACGTGTGATATATCGAAACGAAGATATCACAAATGAGAACATAAATATATAATCAATAGTCCATTTTGATTATATTTAGAGTCCAAAATTTGTGCTCAAAAATGAGAAAACCCCATTTTTGGAAATTAGTAAAACTAATTTTTCAATAGTCCCCCACATGAATGAAAATTTCTTTGACAATCTCAAGGTGCTTAGGTAAAATCCAACATTTGAATCATGCATAGGATAGGTAGGTGTTATCCTTTAAACATTCCCTTAAGATACATATTTATTTTACTAGTAGAACATTAGACTCGATGTCCTTGAATTGTTCCTCCATTTGTGTAAATAATCAATACATATCTTACATGATTCTCCTTGACCTAGTTAGTTCTCATTGATGTGCCCGTTATGGTCATGGATACTTGTATGGTTTTGTAAGAGCTCTGAGGTGTGACATCCCCCAATTTCTCTGCCAGAAAAGACCGGTTTAGTTTATGCTTTTAAAATAAAATCAGAGTAATCTCTCCAATAAAAATATGTGAAATTTGTCCCAAAACAAAATATGATAAAAATTTATCAAATCATTTCTTAAAGAAATGTATTTTTCATTTCATTACAAAAATCGGGATGTCCACATCGATACAGACCAAAAGCATAAACAGTATATTATAGACCTTATAACAGATATTTACATCTAATGGCCTATAATCCAAAAATCTCTGTTCATCATCCAACTATGCTCTGGATCCACTACCTGTAATATAAAAAGTTGAGTGGGTCAGGCTTGGGAGCCTGGTGAGCCCCTTTGGTTTTCAAACCACAATAAATAAATTTATTAATTTCATCAACCAACAATAAATTTATTAATTTCATCAACCAACAATATCCTTGATTACTCATTCCCGTTATCCTCACTTTACGTCCCTAAACACCTATCACAAGGGACCTAGTCTAAGGGTCATCATCTAGTCAACAACACTGCTTAGGGGATTCCGTAGCAATACATGTCAAATAAGGAAACTATGGGGGGATGGAGTACATCTGGTGAACACTTAGCTCAAAAACACCTACAGGTTCGAGCCTGCTAGCGTTCCACGGGACTATCTAGAATAGTATGTGGTCGTCATCTATACTCCGCTAGATGACTGGAACAACAACAACATCGACGAGGCCTCTCATCATTTTAACACACATCAACTATTTCATCTACCCATGTTATACCTAACATATTTGTAGATAAAAATAAATATACAGTTTAAAATCTATATAAAACATTCATTCAACACCCATCTCAAATAAACAAACAATATATACACACATAGCACGTATTTTATAGAAAATACTTCAAATTTATGTGTAA